AAGAAAAGACACCCTGGCTTCATGCTTCACTACTTTAACATGTGGACTGCTTTGTGGATGTGACTCATATTCAGTGCTTTCTGTAGAAGCCACAGTGGTTTCTGGTTATAGCTTTCTTTGTTATGATGGCCTAGTTACAGTTTTCGATTTACTTTATTACTGTAATAGAAACAATGAGTGGGAAGGGAACTAGTGTCAGAAGCCTGGTGTATCTTCAAAGTCTGTTATAATACTTGGTTGTGAGGACTGTAGAATGCACGATGTAGCAGACGTGAAGTGGAGGTGACGTCGGCCGTGAGAGATGAGAATTAAATGAGCTGATTTCCTACACCCGCAATGATTTTCTCCTAGAACACGAAGATGATATTGACCGCACGCATTTTTTAAGTGAAACGCGTACTAAATGACATTGAATAGACCCGTGTATAATATGTAATCGACCAAGTGTTACTATTGGCCAAGTTAGGTTATATTGCAACTGCTCCCACTCAGTTCTTAATTCCCCTTCCTCCCATTTTATTCTTATTATTGGCAACTGTCACACTGATAATTTTCTACTATTATCTATATACAACCAGAGTTCCTAAATTTTAATTCAAACTTAATATACAATACAGAATGTACTGGGAGGGAATTTCTTGGCCCCACTCGTGTTTGCTAGAATATGCTTGACTTCAAAGAACACACATATGGAGTAAGGGTGTAAGAGAATGAATAAGAGCCTTGTTGAGTCGCTTGCACAGGCATTACCTATTGGGGATTTGTGGAATTCCTGATTCCTTATGGACATGTGTTGCTTTATATAATCGCGCTGATGTAAATGTGTCCCACCCAATAACACTAATCATTATGTTGTAATATCGATGAGAAGAAGTGAGTAATGAATTGGCATGTACTATAGTGTGTGTAATAAAAATTGAGCACCAAGTGGCTGCAGAAGGGACAGAGGTAGAGTGGACTGCGCATCATATGCAGCCCTGGATAGACGACACTCCATGCACCCCATCCCTGCGCATGTTAGGGTTTGGCACGTACTAGGTGGCGCGCTAGGATAGAGGGAGTCAAGTCCCTCCTGCATCCCGTCATATATTTGCGCTGATTATAGCCTAGTTATGAATGGACAGGATGCGCACAGGTATTAGCCTCGTTGTCCTTCGTGACCATGTATGTAGTTCTACTATAATGCAGGAAGCTGAAGACCGCACACTACAGCGTGCGCCTCACAGCCCACCTCTGCGAAACTCTTTACTTATTTTTTATAACAGAAGAAATTATTTTTAAAACTCAATTTTCCAGTCTGATAGAATTAATAGCATTTCTCCTAATATGTAATGTAAATCCAAACAAAAACAACGGGCAATAGAGGCATGTATGTAAAGTAGTTGAAACTAAATAAGATATGGATGGCAATGCTAGACTGTACCTTTAGACAAGAATCGAAAACACCTAGAGTACCAGCAGTGGCACAGGCAAGGAATCCACCTTGCGAGTTGACAACCACTCATAATAGAAAGCACCAGATATCGGCGAAAACTTCAAGCTCATCTTCGAGGGTAATGTCCATGTTGACTCCTTATTATACTAATTAGATGTCTATGAATAGTCTCGTCCCACGATGCTAATCCCAGTTCCCGACTGGATAATGCGTGAAGTAGTTCATAATGGACTGCATAATTCCTTAGACCGATTTCGTCAATATTTACTCATGTCATCAGAAGTACCGTGAACGTCATCCTTCTAGTAAGTCACGTATTCACAGGATCTCTCGATAGAAGTTACAACAGGATATAGATTCCCAACTTTCCGAGAAATACGCATACGCGAACCCCTTCTACAATTCTTACGGGATAAACTATGGACGTATCTTTAACATGTGACATCCACCAGCCTAATTCTTTAATATGGCTTATATTAGTTTTTGTGTTTTATTTGTGTTCTTAGTCACTGCGTTTGGAAGTGAGCACTTAAAAATGTTAATCAAAGAAATGAAATTCAACAACAATCACTCAAATTATTACTGATTAATACTCTATTAAAACTCTATTTTTGTTTCCTGCATATAAAGCGACCTAATCAACACCGATCACAAAGTTGATCAGAACATTCTTGTCCTACATGGAGATACTCCACCGACTCTGTGTTTCTAACAGTCTACCACATGCATTCTGTGTGTGTGAGATTGCGTTTTCCCGACACATTAGCTGGATTCAGTCATATAAAACAAACAAGGTCATGCAGAAGTCAAATGTTTTTTTGAAGATTTGCACAACAAATATCTGGTAATTTGAGAAGCAGAACAGAAGAATCTCAGTAGCAGCGACAGTCAGGCCCAGAGTTAAGACATGTGTTCGAATCTCTGCGGTTATTATCACACAGTTGTCTGGTCCCACTTGCAGAGATTAAAGAGGTAAAGCACGAGAGAGCATGGAAAAACCTGTTCTTAGGGGTGACTAGAAGGAAACCCGAGTATCTATGGTTAGACAGATACAAAAATGAAACTTGCCTCAAATCAAACCTAAACATTGATATTAAATTATTTTAAATTCGGGGAAAATGGGTGTGATAAGGAACGTTTCCGTCATACAAACTTACTATTCATTGTAGGATATTGACTTCAATCCAAGTCTTTCTCTTTCAGCATTTAAATTTTCTTTCTGGTTTGTTTTAAACAAAAACTGAAACTTTCTGGTGTTCAGTGTAGAAGAAGCCACGACTCTGAGACAGTCAACAAGAAAGAGAAGATGAAAAGGAGAAAGAGGAAGATGAGGGTTTTACTTGATGTGACTCTGAACTGTTGTCAGTGTTGGTCTGATGTCATTGAGCAGCAGGATGGAGGAAACGTCTCTGCTGTGTCTGCTCTGTAAGTTCACTTTGTGTTTTTCATGCCTCTGCTGTCTTGTAACTAATAACTATTAAAACTATTAACTGTTAAACTGGCCTATAGAGTGATGAATGTAGGAATAATAATGTATTAACTTAACTGACAGATTCTGAGGAGAAACACAAGATTTGTGATCTTGTGTTGTCACTGCAGGTACATGAACACAGCTCGCTGTATGCAGCACGTCTCCTCAGACCTTCACAAACATTAACCAGGGCGTGACGTGTAGTCTGATGTTGTGCAGCCATTCAAGTTATTTAGTCTTTTGGACCACAAGTCAGTGGTTGGAACAGAGAGAAGCACAAAACAACTAAAGTTTGCACAGTTAACGTGCACTCAACTACAGGAAGACACAGTTTGTTTGGCTCAATCTGCGATATTATTAATTAAATCAATAATTACTTTAATGCAGTCAATATAATTATTTCAAAGAGCTGAGAAAACATCCATTAAAAGAGGTCGGAGAGTCAGTGAAGACATCATACAGGTACTGGTGTTGCATTCAAGGTCAACTGTCAGTCGTAGATATTGTTGCTTTTCATTCTTATTCAATATTCAGTTGAAACGTGTAAAACTTTGGTTTCAAGGAAGCAGAGAAATAAACACACAAAGCTTTTTCACACAAGGTTTTTTATAACCACAAGTCTGAAACCCAGAGACAGAGAAAGAGGAAGAGGAGGGTTTTACTCAGTGTAACCATGAGCTGATATCATTGAGCAGCAGAATGGAGGAAACGTCTCTGCTGTGTCTGCTCTGTAAGCTCACTCTGTGTTTTTCATGCCTCTGCTGTCTTGTTGAATGTGAAACTCTGAACTAACCTGAGTTTAATTTCTCTTTAGTTCTGATCTCACTGCTGAGCTGCACCACAAACCAAGGTCAGTAACCTTCTTCTGTCACACTGTAAACCTGACTCACTCTCTTGGAGGCTGCAAGAGGCTATTAAAACATGGTGAAAGAAAATGTATAAAAACAGATCAGTCTTATCTCACTCCTGCTGACTGTCTCCATTATTTATATTTTATTTAAATAACCGACTTAACTTGTATCCTTGATGGGATGTTGGAGAATTCATCATCCAGATACTCTTTTGTTCTGAGGGTGCACTGGGAACATCTGGCAGAGCCCTCACTCCACGAAATTTCAACTCCCACCTCCAGCATTGGTTTGATTGCTTTGTAATGGAGGCTGGGGGCACTGAGCCAGATTGGACAGTGTTCTGCACCTCTATTGCAGAGAATCCTGCAAGGTTGATGGCACCTGTCTCTGCAGTAATCCCAGAACCAGATGATGGACACTGGAGCTGAAGGGAGCCGTCATGCAGGAGGAGTCTTACTGGGCTTTATTAGTCCGTGGGACTCCAGAAGGAGATAACAGGTGCTGGCAGGACGAGCGGATTGCGGCTTTGTAAAAACTTAGGTTTGGGAGTTCAGTGGGACAATGAAACGTGACTTTTGGTCAGTGTCAAAGCGATTTTGGCAATTGGCAGATGATGCAGGAGAGGGAAGAGGTATTCTACAAACATTGTTCATTGTTTGGTAGCAAGCTGCTAACCTTGACTGGGATTGATGAGATTCACCCTGAGTTCCTGAAGGCTCTGGATGTTGCAGGGCACCCCTAGGCTGCCTCAGGAGCATGTTGATGTCCCTGGGAAATTTCAGCTCAGAGTGCTTCCCCACCAACCCAGATAAGCAGCATGAATTGGATGTACAGACGGACTTAACTTGTATTTGATATGAAAATGTCACAGCAGCTAACTCTTAAAAAACAAACATAAAAAAAAAAAACAATGAATAAACATTCCCGTTATTCAGTTTGTTTCAATATTCAATTTTCCTGAGAAACATGACTTTTCCCGCCTTGTCTGGACCACATTGCCTTCTTTTTGCCCAAATTTCAAATCTCCCTAAAGGAAGGGAGGAAAGTTTAGGAAAGTTTAGACGCTCATTCATTTACTGAGATGAACAGATATTTGGAATTTCAGAGTCAATAAATTTGTGAACTTGGCTCTGCTCTGTAATGTGTTTCAGCTTCGCCATCATGGGCCACAGGTTCGGGTTCTCGTGTATTGATTCAACCAAGCCAATCACATGCAAATATTATATATTCTCCCCCTTTCCTCACAGCTCGTCTGACTGTGAGTCCCAGCAGCTCTCAGTTCTTTAACGGAGGCTTTGTGTCTCTGAGCTGTGAGGAGGACGACAGCTCTGCTGGATGGACTCTGAGGAGAAACACAAGCAAACAACAGAGGACTCAGTGTGGAGCTGACTGGGGGAAATCAGCTGGTTCTTCCTGTGACATAAACTACATCTACCCATGGGACAGTGGAGTTTACTGGTGTGAGTCCAGAGAGGGTCCCATCAGTAACATGGTTAACCTGACAGTCACTGGTAAGCTGAGTGTGTGGAGTTAGTGTTGATGAAGCTGTGTGTAAATGGATGAAATGCTGTAGTTTGTCTCTGTGTTGAGGTGGATCAGTGATCCTGCAGAGTCCTGTCCTCCCTGTGATGGAGGGAGATGACGTCACTCTGCTCTGTAAAACAAAGACCACTCCCTCCAACCTCCCAGCTGCTTTCTATAAAGATGGCTCCCTCATCAGGAAGCAGCCTACAGGTCACATGACCATCCAGCATGTTTCCAGGTCTGATGAAGGCCTCTACAAGTGTGACATCAGCGGTCATGGAGAGTCTCCATCCAGCTGGATCACTGTCACAGGTGAGGAGCTTCACTCTGATTTCACCTCCAATTTAATGCACATATTCACACTAACAACTACGATTTTCTCTTCAGATAAACCTACACCGACAGCTTCACCCACCACAACAACTTTTCTCACATCCACATCACTGTCTACCACAACAGCTCCAAACCCTGGCTGCTCCCTCTGCCATCCTAATTTCAGACTAGTCCTCCACCTGCTGGTGATCTGTCCATATTTGATATCCACTCTCCTCTTGGTGTCTTTATATCAACACAGAGCCAAAGGTAACTCTGTGAATCATTCACTGATCAATCAATATGCTGATGATAAATTCCTCTCTTTGTTTAAACTCTGTCTTCTCTTGGCCCACCCCACCAGGCTGAGCAGGGACTGGATGATGACTGTAATTACAACATCACTAGCATCAACAAAGAGCACCACATCTGAACCTCTCTACCTTAACTTAAAAAATTAAATGTGTTCTGATGTTTCGAGCTGTGAATCAATTGGTTGCTTTTACTCCGTGTTTTTGTAATGATTAAGTGGAGATGTGGAGGAGGTGGATTAAGTGAATTAGAGTCTAAAAAGGAAAATGACAGAAGAGCACTGAGATTTAAACCGTGCAGAGTGGCAGCTGATTGGCTCAAAAAAAGGTTAAAAAGAAGATGATTGGACTAGATCAGGGGTGCCCAATCCCGGTCCTCGAGAGCTACCGTCCTGCAGCTTTTAGATGCATCCTTGTTCCCACACACCTGAATCAAATGAATGGCTTGTTATCAGGCCTTTGCCAAACATGATGGCATGCTGAAGAGATCAAACCATTTGATTCAGCTGTGTTGGAGTAGGGATGCATCTAAAAGCTGCAGGATAGTAGCTCTGGAGGACCGGGATTGGGCACCCCTGGACTAGAGTAATGATGTCAGTATTGAGGCTATGGCTGTGTGCATGCAGACGTTGCAGTAAGCCGCAGTACCAGCAGAGGGAGATATTTTATTTCAAGCCAACATGAAAATAGTCAATGGCAAATCTTTAAACAGACATTATCAAAACATTAAATATAAACACATATTAGCAGCCTAGCTTAATTGTTTCTGGCAAGTAAGGTCCCTAAAATGTAATCGTGCATTATTTGCTGACTTCTGACTACTTTTTTATTGTAAATAGATTCTTCTCCTATCTGCATTGCAAGTTCTGCATGTGTGTCCATTTCACGTTTTCTCCCGGATGCAGTTGGTGGGTTTAGGTTTATTGGTGATTCTAAATTGCCCACAGATGTAAATGTGAGTGCAAATTTTTAAGCATTTAACCTACACAGTTATATCATAAGTTTATGCCACTTGTTGTTTGAGCATCTGTTGATGCATACTGCAGGGTTAATGTGCGTGTTAGGGTGTGGCTGCTGCTGTTATGTAAGTCACCTAAAGGAATGGTTGTAAGGAAAGGTGGAGAAGATAGAACTAATGCTGCCATCTACAGACTGGGTGACTTAAACTCACCAATCACACACTGAGTGTGGATGTAGCTTATGCACAGTTTGAGGGTATTGTAATTTACTTCACTGCATTTTCTTGTTGTTCAATAAAGTTTTTGAGTTTTTGATGGTGCACCAGTCTGAGCACATGATGAAACCTCAGATTCAGGGATATGATGGGGCCTCATAATTCAAGACCTTTTACTGTATGGGGCAAGAGGGGGGGAAATATGGGAGCACATTTTTTTAAGGAAGGAAGCTGTTGTAATGGTGTAACTCTGAGAAGCAGATGAGTGCAGCTGCCTTACTGAAATAGGATTTTCTTTACAGCTGTCTTCACTACTACAGTTAGTAGGATCATCCTTAGAACGGAAACAAAGAAAAGTACATTTTCACATATAATGAATTTTAAATGTAAATACAAAGACTTAACATATCTTTCCAGCAGCTTTGACAAACAAACAAATAGTTTAAAAATATATCATAGAGCAGCAATACATCACATTTTATTATAGTCACTATTGGAACTTAGGATGCCAAAGTCAAAGCTTTTAGGTATGTATGTTTATGCACTAATTATATGTTGTTAACATCATTACAGTGTCCAGTAGATTTATTTAAAAATGAAATAACATTAAATTAAATTAAAAATTACATTAATATGAAAAAAATATATTATTAAGATCACTAATAAAAAAAAGTCCTCTCTCAGTGTACGTCCAACCAAAAGGCAAATAACAAAACCACATGTATATCTAATAAAAGATATAAATATTGAAACACTCCTCACAGGTGTGATATACTTATACAAATACTTAACAGCATTCATAGAATGGCTCTTCTCTACTATCCAATAATGTAAAAAGCAATGTAGTTTTCCATATGCTTGGACAAAGGACTTATAACTGAATTTGTTCTCAGTGGAAACAACAATAACAAATTAAATTATTATCTACTAAAATTTGAACATCTGTCCTCATCAGCAAGTATTATCAGGAAAATTAATTATTTCAGTCACATAAAGAAAACATAATATAGTGAAAACCACAAACACATTACAATTCCTGATGGTTTGGGATGGAGTCAGCGTCCCGACCTGTATTGTTCTCCAGTTTGTCCCTGAGCGTGATTTTCCTCTGAAGAGGCTGTTAGATTTATATTCAGAGGGTGGGACATGTTAATATAAATTTTTCGCTTCAGTAAATAATGACTGTGATTGTTCTCATATTGTTTTTACTGTACCTGTAACAGCATTAATTAAGATCTGTAATCTACATTTTGACGCAGACAAATACTAAAGTGTTTCTTCTGAGGGTTTGGAGACCGTCTGACACAGAGCTGCTCTTACACAGAAGAAATGTGCAGATGTGGAATTCAGCTGTCGTTCAGCCTGTAGATGCACCAGTGTGGATTTATGTCATGTACTAAATATTTGACTTAACAGCCTCCATAAAAGCACAGTTATCTTCACGAACGTTATTAATCTTCTTGGACGTCAGCAGCTGTAAAGTGTCCCAACTAACAAGAAACGTTCCCACAACATTCTTAAATGTGTTTGGGAACATTCAAGGTTAAAAGAGGTTCTATTATTAAAAAAGAAAAATAAGTGTTACACAATGTTAGATGACATCAGTTAAAGAACATCATCATTTTTGAAAACCTGTCTACCTTGTGTTGGGATCCACGTTAAGGAGCCTCTGGCTCACTGGGTGCGACAGCACTGAGGGATGTTTTTATTTGACGTCTCAACACGTCATTCAGACATTTCTGCACCAAGTTCAGTTCCTGCTGCTCTAAAATATATTAATGGAGCCTTGAATACATGTTAGAAACACAGGTGAATGTTTCCTCACTCAAATGTCAGCCTGAGCTACAAACACAGATCTGAGCGCAGAATGAGATCTGATTGGTTTATACAGACATGACAGTTTGGCAGATTTACTTATGACCTCTGAGTAACAGCCTTTAAAATGCTGCATCACTAACAATAAGTGAACCTTTCTAAATTGTTTAAGCACACATTCAGAGCCAGCAGGAAGTAAAACCACAGAGAAAGAAGAGATCTGATCAGAAGACATGACTAACATCTCTGTGGACCAAACTGTGTGTGGAAAGATTGAATCTATGTCTGTTTATCTCAGCGTAATCTTGAATGAAGCTGGAGCAAGTTCACATTTAAAACATGTAACACATTACAGTATTCCTCTGTGTCTTTATAAACCTGTACAGGTTACAATGTCACTTTGTAATGGAGCTGTAAACCACATCATAGACACAGTGCCAGTGTTTACAGCATCTGTTTGTAGAAGCAAGCTCCTTGTGCTTCAGTGAAGTTGAGTCTAGTCTTTAATTTTCAGCTGCTTTTCTGCTTCCAAGTGGTTGAAAAAATACACAAACAAAAAAAGACAAAAGCAAACAAACCATGACAGTACTTTAATGTCAGATATCTGAACTCAAACAGAATCACTTCAATACAAAACACCACAAGTTAGCGTTAATACATTCGCAAACATGTCAGGCTTTGTACACAGTTAATTTCCATGTTGTAAACATATACAGTATAATAACTTCTACGTTTTGTGCTTCTCAATCCACTAAATCAGCAGTTCTCAAATATTTTCTCCTGTGTCTCATTTCAGGAACTGAATCATTGTCAATTAATCTTTAAAAAAAATAATGATGGAGATTACATTTTATTCCCAGGTCACAGCATCAGCAGATACTTGTTTGTTTTTGCACAAGCAGAGACTCAATGTTTGAAAACTGCTGGACTACAAACATGTGGAGTTGCAGATTAAAGGTTTTTATCAACAGGAACCTGTTTTTGTTCTAGTTTTTGGACAAACTATGAAAAAAAACAAAATCAGCCATTTTTACCCAGACTCTGTCAACTGTGAAGGAGTATAAGCTTATGCTAACAGGCAGCTGGCATCAATAAGTGTTTGAGAGAGGAGCTATTAAAATGAAAAACAGCTTCCTGTGGACACAGACCCTTACTCAGACATAATACAATCACATTAAAGACAAAAGGTAACAGACTGAGACAAATGGCTGTATTTTAACCTGTCTATACAACCAAAATGTACAAAAACAACGTTACAGAAAGTCTAATTTGATCATGGTTAAATGTTACTGAATTGCTCTTAGTCTGGCTCATCACCTGGGACCTGTTTGTCATGGGAGACCCTACCAAGAGCTGAACGCTCCAGACAACTCAGCTCCCAGGATCGTCTGAGCTCACAAACCCCTCCACCACGATAAGGTGGCAATTCAAGGAGGGGGACATGCCTCGAATCCAACATGCCAAACACAACTCAGCTAATCACACATGGCCTAGCTTAATGAGTGTGGCATGTGTCAGAAAAAGACATGTAAAATAAAATTCCCAGCTTGGGAAGAAATTACTGAAAACAAAAAACAGTGAATCAGGACAACAAACTCTGGTCCTCTGGTTTGTTTGGATCCTGTTTTTTGCATCTTCTGTAGATTAATATGATCGCAACAGCAAGCAGCACAGCAAAAATGACAGAACACACTTGTTTCAGTCACGTTTCTTTCAATCAGATCCTTCTCTTGTATTGCTCCTGCAGGTGAGAAACAGGTGTGAGGTGTCAGCTGTCAGGTAGGTGATGAGTGAAGAACAGAACAGAATCCATTTCCTCTTCAAACTGCTGTCAGACATTATCTACTGCACTCTGATCACATCACTCAGACCAGCTGCTTTCTACAAAGTCTCATCAACAACATCTTTAAAACAAACATCAACAACCAGGAAGCAGCTTCACCTCTGATCACACACACACTCAACTCTACTCACTCACCTGGAGGATACAACTCTCAGAAGGTGATGATAGCTAGAGGGATCATCGCCAGATTACGCTCTCTCCTGCGGCTTTGTTCCTGTACTCAACGCATCTCGTATTTCCAGTATCAGCAGTCGTACATTCTTCAGAATCAAAGACACGTCATCCTTTATCGTCTTTTGCAGATATCACCCGGTTACTAAAAGATGGATGCTGGGTTATCTGGATCGACTGCCTCTGGCGGTACAAAAGGACATATTTATTTCAGTCAGGCTCTGCTCCACATACAACTATGATGTTGTTGTGTGGAGAGCTTGGAGCTATTGGCGTCAAAGTCTGCATGGACATTCTCTCCAGGGGCTGTGTGAGTGTTTTAGTCTGGACTTCATAAAGGGAAAGAACAATAAAGACAGAGCGAAAGGGATAGTTTCACAGGT